AAACGGCGTAAACTTGGCTAGCCGTGGTTTTTTATCTAAATGACGTGGTTTTCAAGATGTTTTACTTGATTTCTTAGCAAAATTCGTTAAACAAAATTTTTCAAAACTTGGCTTTAACTTTGGAGAACTTATATTTTTGACATCGGCTAACGGCATGACTAAACCAACCATGGGTCTCGCTAAACCAGCCCAACAGCGATGTTGGAGTGACCAACAGCGCTGTCTGGCATGGGAAGCTGAAAACCATGGTTTGGCGTTAAGTCTTTCAATAGCAATGTTGGATGGTAGACATCGCTGTTTAGCCAAGGTTGGGTTTCCAGAAACATCTGGAACAGCGATGTAGCCTACCCTACATCGCTGTCCAACCTAAGCCAAAAATAAATACATTGGCAGAAAGTTTTTGGACAGCGCTGTTGACCCAGCAACAGCGATGTCAAGCTAGTTTCCTCAACCTTCAAAGTCAGGCCTGAACAGCGATGTTCCAGTGATGAACATCGATGTAGGCACCTGACCGTTGGAAGGAATTTATGACTAAAACTTTCCTTGTTTGGAAGTCAACAGCCATGATGTAGGGGTTTTGAACATCGCTGTTGGGATGACCGTTGCTTCCCATTTTTCAAAAACCAAGCTTAGAACAGCGATGTCCAAGCCATGGACAGTGCTGTCTAGAGGATTTTCAGCAGATCCATTTTTAATCAAATCCCAAAATTTGTGCCAATCACCCCTTAAAGGTTTTGATCCGTTGGAGCCTATTTTTCCACTATAAAATGGGGTGTTTGGGTCTGTTTTACAGATCACATTACTTCACAACTCTATTCTTTCATTGCATACAATTCATACATTATTCATAGCTTTTCGAGAGCCACTTTTGTGAAGTTTGTGTTGTGTTCTTGAGCGTTTTTAGTTACTCATTATCCACTCTAAAAGAGAGTTTTGTTCTGGAGTGATTTTGTTTTCTTAGACACTTGACAAGAGAAAATATTTCTCTTGTTGTTCGAAGGAAGGGTTGTTTCCTTCGAAGGTTCGTTGAGGTTCGTGTGACTCGAATTCTCAAGTTGTACGGGTTTGTTAAGCACCGTTAAGCTTAACGACATAGTAGTGTAGCTCGAGAGACTCTCTCGGGAGGCTGGATTAGACACAAGTTGTAGTGAACCAGGGTAAATTCGGTGTGCCTCTTACTCTTCTCTTTTACTTCTCGTTTAAATCTTTAATTCCTGCGATTTCTACGATCAAACGCTATTCACCCCCCCTCTAGCGTTGGTCTTTTATTCTAACACCATGTGTAAAGCTTCGACCCAGAATTGTGGTGGTAGATTGGCTTGAAACAAGAGAGTGTGGACAGTGTTGTTTAAGGTGCGAATCATGCGTTTCGCTCGACCATTCTGTTGGCTTGTGTACGGGCAAGAGAATCGAAAGAGAATGCCTAGAGATTCAAAAAAGTTGGCTAAGGGGGTGTTTCTGTATTCTGTGCCATTATCGCATTGAACTAATTTTATTATGGTATTGAATTGATTTTTAACAAGAGCATGAAATTTAACTTAGTGAGAATATGCATCATTTTGTTGCGTAGAGGAAATACCCACAAGTAATGAGAAAAATCATCAAGTAAAAACATGTAAAATTTAAACCAAGTTACACTTGGGATAGGAGACTACCATAGATCAGTATGCATTAATTGAAATGGAAAACAGGATACACGACTCAAAGACTGAAAAGGAAGACGCACATGTTTGCCGAGTTGGCAGGCATGACATAAAAAATCTAACTGAGTTTTATTGGAACTATCTTAAAAAAATGAGAGGACCATGGAGAATAGCTGGGTGGGATGACCAAGATGCCGTTGCCATGTAGGAAGGTCAACTTTGGCCATGTGTAAATGTGCTAGGGAATATGCTTGAGTGAGAGGATAGAGATGACCATCACTATTGAATCGTTGAATCACGGCTCCCGTTAATTTGTTCTTCACAAAGAAACCACATGAATCAAATTCAACAGAACAATTATTGTCACGTGTAAATTGACAAACGGAGATTAGATTGTGGATAATATGATGGGAGACGAGGACATTGCGTAGGGAGAGGGGGGTTAGTGTTAATAGAACCATCGCCATATGCCGTAGTGCTAACTTTATATGTGTTACCTACAATGATATGAGAAGGAGAATTAATGTGTGAAGGAAATACATGAGATAAAGTACCTGAGTCAGAGGTGATATGGTGGGAGACTGGGAGGCACCGGAGTCCATGATCTAGGTCGGAGGGGGGTTGAGGGTTAG